AAATATTTGGATTAAAAAATTAGGGATGAATTGTCTACCATGTTTTGAATAGATAGTTGAGGTCTTAGATTTAAAAACCTTTATGCTTATGCTATTTGTTCTTATGCAATTTTAGGATTAGATTTTTAGTTGTTTTATTTCCGTCTCATAAGGATAAAATTAAGTTTGTGTTGCCTCCCTATATTTGCAATCAAATATTTATTGTTAATCATCCTAATTATAAGACTAGGAATGATATTCTTGTTTGGTCCTTAATCATAGATGGTGAATTCTCTATTAAATTTACATATACTATGATTTACAAGAACTTATACATAATTGGTCTAAGTGCTAAACTATTTCAACTAGGTTTGAAAATGGCTTGCCCTTCTAAAAAGAATTGGTGAAATTTGCTCATGAAAAACTATTACCTAATAATGAAAGAGTTCATAAAGGTATATATACATTAGAGCTATATCTTAGGTATAATGCAACTCTTGAGTTAGTCATGCATGTTTTAAGGGACTCCTATTATGCATCCTCATTTTGGAATTAACTAATTTCTCATCCTCATTTTGGAATTAACTAATTTCTCAAGCTAATTGGTGTAAATTTTTTTATTCAAGTCTTAGTAACTACTATAACTTTAGTCTTACCTATAAAACAACTAATAATCGTTTGAGGGAAAAGGATTCCTTCTTCATGTTCACGCCAAAAAATGAGGGAATTTGAATCCAAATTAGAATGTTATTTTTAGAATAACATCTTGGAACATTTGGACTGATGAATAAAAAAATTGTTTATCTTTTTATTCTTATTTTTTAAATTCTATCATATGCTACATTTTGTCTCTTGTTTCAAGAATTTTGCGAAATGTATTTTCAATAGACTGAACAAAATATTCCCTTGAAATTGTCTCTCCTTACCCAAAATACATTAAAATTGAATGTTGATAGTTTGGTACTAGTAAAACAAGTTCTACTACTCATGAGGATTTTATTCAAGAAGTATATGCTAGTTTTATTGCTGGTTTTATATATAAAGTGAGACCCTATTCTTCTCTTGAGACAGAATTGTGAGCCATTCTTTTTAATTTCATTCAAGAGGTATATAAATGTTATACAAAGTTATTCTATGGAGACTTTATAGTTAATTTTAGATAACCAAAATAATGATAGTTGTTTCTCTTATTTGTTATTATAATTAGATCATTATTACATGATGAATTAAATAAACTTGTGCTCATATGGAGTTTAACAAAATAATTATATTATTTTAAAAAAAATAAAATGTGATGCTTGTAACGCCCCGAATTTTGTAATATTAATTATTGTTATTTTTATAAATCTAAATGCGTGTATATGTGTGTATAAGTGTAAATGGATGTTAAAAATTTGCATTGAATGTGTAATGATGGTATTTTGTGTGTAATGAGTATGGATATGTGTATGCATGACTGGATAGGGTTGAAAATGGGCTAAGCGCCTAAGTGCAGGTTGTAATATTAGGCTATCCTCGCTGCAACGAGAGGATTCTCGTTGTAACGAAAGGGTACTGGGAGGAAGGACCAAAACTGCCACCTTCTTGCTGTAGCGAGAGACATCTTGCTGTAGTAAGAGAAAGACAGTTTGGGATGCATTTCTAGGTGCAGTCTCGCTGTAGCGAGATTCTACAGAAACCAGAATGCAATTTCGTCTGAGATTTTCGTTATGGCGATAGAGGGTATCGCTGCAGCAAGAGATGCCTCGCTGCAGCAAAAATTTCTCGCTATAGCGAGAGTGTCGCGATCTGAGGGATTTTAAAAGGGGGTTTAGGATTTGAGAAGTTATTTCTTAATATCCCTTCGAATCCCTCGACTCAGAACCCTTTCCTACCGATTATATTGCCTTCAAAGTCGTTCGGGAGCTTGATTGAAGGTTGGATCCGTGTGGGGAGCGCTTGGAGGTGAGTTTAAATGATTAAGGTTTCTGTTTTCATTTCCTCTCTCTGTTTTTGCAATTTCTTGAGTTTTCATGGAGTTTCTCCATGTGTTTAGGATGAAATCCATGAGAGAGAACACTTCTTTGTGGATTTAATGTGTGAGTCTTCAATCCAAGGTAAGGGGGACTCTATCCTATCTCAATGTATTATAATTTTTGTGTGTTTTAATGATTAATGCAATGTGGCTGAGATAGGGAGTAGAATTCGTGTGTTTGATGGAAATTGGTGTGCAATGTGATGTGTGCTGGAATAGTTAGGCCCCGTTGGGAAAATTGTGTATGATAGAATGCCATTGATTGATGAATTAATGATATTGTGAACAAATGTGGGCTTGAGGGCCGTGTAATATAAATGAATATTGGCTATGTGTCGTGTAATGTGAAATAAATGTGGGCTTAGTGTCGTGTATTTGAATGCAATGTGGGCTGTGTGTAACCATGATCATTGTATGCATGAATGGAATATGTGTGAATGGACGTGTTAGCACCGTTGTAATGTGCTGTGAATGGTTCAGCGATACACTACGGGTGTGGAAGATGAGAACGGTAGAAATACTATGGGGAATAGGGAGTGGTGGTGACACCGACTGTAGAACGGGTGCACCACGGGCCACACACTCTCTTCCTGACTAGACCTTTGACCACTATCTTTACTGAGCGACTCGTGACTGCCCACGTGGTATCCGTGAGGCGGGAGTAACCGACAATCATTCATGGTGTAAATCTGTGATCACAGTGCCACAGTGAGTGTGGCTGGCGTGCGTATGCATGAGTTTATGAATTGTACTTATGGATGTAAAATGTTGCCGATTCCATGAGTGCATCGGTGTTAAATTGACATGAGTTGTGTGATAATGCTACCTGTGATTGTATTTGTTTAATGTATTAGAAATGTGTTGGAGGTGAGATTCTATACTGACTATATATTTTTTATTAGTATATAGTACTAACCCTTATATTCATTTTTCAAGTAATCAAGACGATCAGCACCAGATTCATTGAAGAGGTAGATGGAACTGTTATAGGACTTAGGATATTATTTTGAAAACTGTTGTATTTGAATAAGTCCTGTATCAACTATTTGATGTAATTTGTAACTCTTTTTTTTATTTGAAATGTTTGATAAAATTTAGATTAAAAATATAACTTTTATTATTTTAAAAATTTGTGAAATTTTTTTATTTATTAAAATTAAATTTAAAGTGTTACAATGATTGTGTGTTAACTTATTTTACTCATATAAAATCGCTTAATTGTAATATTGTTGACAGAGCTCCTTTCCTCCTAGGATACTTTGTGTATTTACTTTTTTAGGTCATGTAATTAATTTTGTTTTCTTTAGACAATAAATTTTGTTAAATAACGAAACAAACAAAATAATACATATGTATAATAACTATTTGTGTAATAAAAATTATTGTTAAATACTACAGTATTCAAAGTAATCTAAAATATATTTCAATAATTCAAAATACAAAAAATAATAGTTAATTTGCTATTTTTTCAAATCAAAAAATAAATAAATAATTTAAATACTTACAAAAAAAAAGAACATATAAAAATTTTAAAAAAAATTGAAAAATAGTTAAAAAAAAAAAAGAGGAAAAAAAAAAGGATTGAAAAAAGGTGACAAGCATCGAAGACTTTACCATGCGTTGCCACAAAAGTAATTTTATTAAATTTGTGTGTTTCGTTTCAATGGAATGCAGAATTGTTTATTTTATTTTTAAAAGAAATAAGTGTTACTCCTGACAGGAACAATACTTGTTGCGTTGAAGTAATAAAAACTATCTAAAGTGGGTCAGGTTTATCAATGAGCTTACATGTTTGTATTTGCCAAAACTTATGTGGGGAAAAGCTGGCAGTAATCATTGTAATTCGAATACTGAGCCGATTGTGACGTGGAAATGATAATTAACCAATTGCATATTAAATCGTGTACACTTATTCATTATTGTCAAAGCAGATATAGTACCTGACACTGATCTTTTCACTTTTTTCCTCCTCTCCCTTGCCTGCACAAGCTGATGAGGTCACATAGCACTTTTATTTAATGCACTTAAATTATTCTAGTTTTGAAAACCAGCCATTTGCTTTCCTAATTTGCACTTGAATCTTGTTAATATATTGATCAAAATAGTGAGTCGCGTGTCCTTAACTATGTTATACATTAAGTTAATTTATGCATTACACTAAATTTGGATGAATATTCAGAAAAGAAACTCACTAAAAAAACAGAAAAATTTTAGTGTGTGTAAAGCACACTAGTCATACATAAATCTTCTTGGGTTAGAAGATGCACGTTGTCAACTTCTTTGGGCACCTACATGTGTACGTATACACAATTAGGGAATCGAATAAATTTTGTTATACTTAATGATGAAGCAAAAAGTAATGCTACGGGAAAAGAATTATTCCCTCGAGGTCCTTCTGGTTGCTTAAATGAGCACAACTTGTCACCTGATAGTTTTATTTTATAAGCCAATTGGTAAAGAAATGATTACTATATGATGCATTTAGTCTTACGGATATCTTTCCAACTGAAAGAAAGATAAAGAAAAGTGAGAAAGAGTTTAGGTTGCCTTCCTTTACAGTCAACAGCATCAAACCTTCATCAAAATGTTGAGAACAAAATCAAGAAAGAATAATGCTCTTTCGATAAAGATCTATTCTTGTTTCTTGATATTGCCAGATAAGCCAATGATAGTGAGAAAATGATAGTGAATACCTTAGTTGTAAAAGAAAGACACAGACTCATGATATCAAAGTTCAATATGATGTATGCATAAAGAAGCTTCTTTTATTGCTTTGTACAGTGCCAGACACTTGGCATCATTTTTTTTCTCTTCTTTCTATTTTAATCCATTCATTGCATAAATAAAAAAAAATAGCAATAGACAACAATTTACAGATTCAAATGTAAAACTTTTCCTGAAGTGGTATTCTGCTATATCAGAAAGCAGTGATTAAACAAGGTGAAACTTCAATTTTATTGGTTTTTTTTTTATCATAACTTTTTCATAAATGTAACAATCTTTAATGCTAGTAATTCTCCCACAAAAATTGCTCTTCAAGCTTGAATCCACTGTCAACTGCACATAAATGCCAAGAAGAAGAATAGGAGAATAGTCCAGTGTTTCCATCAGGAAAAAGATCTGGTAGGTCAAATAGTGTGTCATCGTCTGCAGTAGAGGGAGAACATGAAGACTCTTGAGTACTGTCCATGGATAGAGTTGAAGATGAAGCTAGTTCTGCGAGAATTTGTTCTGCATCAGTGTTGTCCAAAGACAGAGTTGAAGATGAAGCTTGTTCAGCTTGGTTATGTTCTGCTTCGGCTTGGCAATGTTTAGCATCTTCAAAGAATGTTGTTGCTGCTTTTGCAGCAGCAGCTTGAATGTCCTTGGGAGATGTGGTGATAGGCCTTGGAAGATCATGAGCCAAATTGGGGAAATTGAGGTAAGCTGAATCACCCTTGATGGCTAAAGCTGCCACGTCATGTGCTCTTGCTGCCATTTCTGCAGTGGGGTATGTTCCAAGCCATATTCTTGACTTCTTCTTTGGCTCACGGATCTCAGACACCCATTTACCCCATGTTCTCATTCTCACACCTCTGTAACTTGGGTGTTTGTTCCCATTGTCATTTCTTTGTCTTTTCTTGCACTCCTTGCCATTTTCGGAGTTTCCAGTTGTTGTTGATTCATTTGGAGGACTTGGTTTGGAGTCTTGGTTGGTGCATGAAGTAGAAGATGTTGGTGATGAGGGTGAGCAAGTAGGAATGGTGATGGAAGTGGAGGTGCAGGTTATGCCAAACAAGTTTTCCCGAGCATCACTTTCCATGTTGATATGTTTTCCTAAGCTAGGGAGGTTTTGGTTTAGAGTGGAACAGAGAATGAGGGGAAGACACATAAAAATAGAGCTGTTTGTCTTTTATGATTCTCCTAAAAAAAATTAGATTTATATAAAGAGGAAAGAAAAAGAATAAAGAAATTATGAGAAAAGAAAAAGAGGCTAAAGGAGAAAAAAAAGAAAAGAAAAAGAAAAGACAAAGGAATATAAACCAGCATGGGCTCCAGAAGGCTACAGTTCAGCGACTTGGTTGCCCATGTTGAAATTGAATAGCATGACTTTAGATATTGTAATTTTATATGCTCAAATATTTTACCTACAAATCGTTTTTTGTTTATTATTAGTGTGTAGAGTACCTATTTCTTCTGTTTCACGTGTGTTTGTACTGTGTCTTCCTTTTGAGAGCAGCTTCTACTCGGGTACATTTGAGTGGGTGCGCTTTACTTTCTCAAACGTGATTTTCACATGAATTCTCCACAATTATCCCTCTTATTTACCATTATTTGGTACATAGATTTGTGGGTGATCAGGTGGGTCCATAGACATTAGACCCGAAAACTCAAAATTCTGTTATTTTTGTTTGTCTTTTCTATTTTGTGGTCATGTATATAGGCTATATAATTAGTTTAGCATAAAGTATCAATGCCTCATCAAAATCACAATTTTATATTATCAGCTTGTTGGTCTGTCTGCCTCAACTTCTCTCAATTATACTACGTCCTTAGCATGATGTGGCCTCCTCCAAGAGATTTTTTCCAACTCCAAAATTTGTTATTAATTTGTAAACTATTGGTCTCCAGTTGTGATCAGAAGGCAGAGCCAATGGAATCAGGACTACTGTGTCGTAATCTTTGGCTAAACTTCTACCAAAGAGGTTGAATGCCTATTTGTGCACAATATAATAGTGGAGGCTTCCCAAGTGGGTTATGGTGTCAATTGAAGCAACGGACATAAGACCAAGACTAATCAATTTCCCTGCCTATTAAACTCATCTAATGTGCTACACAATAACATTAATATGAATATAGCTGACTTACTATTGTATATGCATTTAACTATTGCTGAAACCTAAAATTTGACATAGTAAAGATTGAAACTTCGATGTATACTTGAAAACAAATCAAGGCTAACACACTCAGCGTCCACATGCTTGTGGGCCACTGTTGAGGTCCAAATTCCAATATTATTCTTTTTTTTTCTGGCAAAAGGGTCAAAGTATGCGTGCAGGTTTCTTTTTTCCCGTCAATTCTTAGTTTCTCATTTTCTCTCTCTGCACGAAGTTCAAAACATGGATGAACAGGGATTGTAAAGGATAACAAAAATGAGACTGTGAAACGGCTTTGACAATTCTTCGGTGTTAAGCTGAGAAACTATATGACTGTAGATAGTATGTTACATTTATGGCGGAATAAGCGTTGGGGGAATGTGTTTTCTTTCTTGTTGAAAGAGGCACTGTTCCCTCTAGTTTGTGATTCTAGCTTGTTGCTGAGTAAAAATTGTGTATTTTTAAATAAACATTCATCTTAATCGTTAGTTAAAGACGACCTTTTAGTAGGATCGGAATAGCCAATCGTTTTCTAAATGTTCTCTTAACAAGCTATAAAAATAAATTATTATTTGCGAAAAATTGATGTCCCCTTAGTATTGCAAGCATATGACATTTTAGTCTTTGAATCTATAATATTTTCACTTGAATCTCTTCATTTTAAAAAATAATTTATTTTATCTTTTCATTGTATTCACGTTACCGATAAAGTAATTTCTCCTTTTATTCTTTTCTGCCTTTCTGCAAGGTATTTTTTAATTAAAGTACACAGACTTAGTTATATTTTTAATTTTTTAAAAATATTATAACATAACAATTTTACTCTTATTTAATACTATTAAACCTAATTATGTCAACTTTTACCTTTCTTAGGTTTAATTTAGGCTCCAAGCAATTCTATTTATTAAGGGCAAATGAGAAAAAAAAAAAAATTGTTACTTGGTAGAAGCTGTAAAGTGCCTTACTATTTGACTGCTAAAAACTTCTAAAATGTGCCTTACAAAAGACTAGAGAGTATTATTTTGTTAAAAAAAAATCAAATTAAATAAGATTAAGGATAATTTAAAACAAATAAGCAGCTGCTAAAAGTTAAAGTAAAAAATTACTCTTTCTAGAGGTAGATATTTTTGGATTCTTGAATTAGGATGGGTATATATATTCATCTTACATGATACATTGAAAAATAATATATATTGTTAAATTTATCATTTCATCTTTTAGAAGAAATGGTATTCTTTCATTAAAATCCCAAAATAAAAAATTGTTAATTTTTATGAGAATTTCCATATTAATGCTAAAAGTTGGTGGCCGTAAAAAATTGTATTAACACACTCAAATCTTGTAACTTGATTCAATTCATCATATCAACAAATTTTGCAATTCCTTTTCATTGATTCAATTCACCTAATCTGTAGTGTGTAATTCAACAATTGTCACATTTTGAGTATCAAGTACGCTAAAAATGTGTCACTCCTTATTGTATTGTGCCCTTCCAAAAGACATCACACTTTTTCTGTTCTTGCATCGTACCCTCGTGTATTTTATTTCCTTACGTTTGAAGACTTAAAATATAGAAAAAAAACTTGATAATTAATTCTTCGATTTAATTTTAATAATTGAAGTTTAAGATTTTGTTCTTAATCTAATTTAAATATATTTTATCTTTTATCATCAATTTTGTCATTAGATTTTATATGAATTTTGAATATCCATATTTTATGATATTCATATTTTATTCCGGCCCTTAATACATAATTAACAAGAACTTTTTAATCTTAATAACGCTTAATTCAGCAAATCAAAATTGTGATTGAAAATTATATTTAAATTGATTTAACTTCTTTTATAAATTTGAATGAAGTTTGATTAATGATAATTAAATTAGAGTTAGGAAAGACTCAATTAACTAACTTAAATTTAGTTAATGTTTTGTTTATAATTTACATTAAAAACTTTCTCTAATTAATTAGTACTTAATTGATCATTTTTAGATCAAAACTAAAGTAAAAATAGAATTTAGAATTAATAACATGAGTTTTTAATTTAAAATAATTAATCAACTTTAAAACTCCACTTTTATTAGTGTTATTTCAAATTTAAGTATACATATGGGTTCTTAATTTAATTATCATTCATTCTAGTAACATGACTTAGGTTGATTTAGCTAAAATTCTAACTAAATGTGGCTTCAATTTGTTATTTTATTATGATAATATTGACTCTACATTTCATTTAAAATCTATATATATATATATATATATATATATATATATATATACTACTTATATATATATATATATATAAATAGGTTATTAAATCATCTAAATTGAGTTGTTTCTAAAAATATCATAAGGCATATATTTTTAATATCATAAATATAATTTATGTATAAAAATTATTTTGTATTTTATTATAAAATTAGTGAACCTTAAATAGGCTAATCTATTCAATCTAATAAATTTTTTCTTAAGCTCAAATTTGACTTACTTAATTAAGTATTTATAAAAGTTTAAATTTAGCCTATTACTTAAATAAATCAAGCGTTAAACAAGAAAGATTTTAAATTTTTATTGGACAGTTTGACCTACTTTCATCCCTAATTGAAGAATAAAAAATAATAACATATGTTAAAAAACAATCTACCATTTTCACTAATGCAAAATAATGTTTTTATAGCTAACTTTTAGATTGGTTATAAAAAATTGATCTAAATGAAAGTGTGATGATATTTTTAAAATTTTAAACTACTTAATTAGATCTATTTTTGAAATAATTAAAATAAAATTTACTAGATCAGTAATACAATTAATCAATGTAAAAATTATTTTTTAAATTAATTGTAAGGGATCAATTGATATAAAAAGTTATTTTTTTAAATTTATAAGTATATTTATTATTAATGCAACCAATATAAAATAAGTTAGATTTATTAAAGGAATGATAAGTAATATTTTTTTTTTTTAGTTTTAACTTTTCTCTCTATTATTTATGTATAAATATTTTATGAAAATCATTATTTTTCTTGAAAAATATTATAAACATCATTCTTTAAAAAATATTGTTATTTTAAGTAAATAAATTTAAAATAAAAGAAATAAAAAGACATATATTCAATATTAAAAGAATAAATATTTTTTAAATTAAAATTATTTATGTAAATATTTTACTTATATAATCAAATTTTACTTAATTGATATTTATATGTGTTAGAATTTTTTCAATAAAGTATTATTAATTTTATTAAAACTCTTAAAATTATTTATTTTAATATTCATAAACGCAACCTACATTCATTCAAGGATTTGTTTTTTTTTTTTAAGAGATTGTATTATCATACTTATCTATTTATTTAAAATAAGTGATATGATGTTAGACCCAAATTACTTATCAAAGTGTTACTTATTTTATTTATTAATATTGAAATATATTTCGGTTCAATTTTTTTTTTGAAAAATAAGTTATTTTTTATTGTTTAGATACTTCTGATTAGATAGTACGAACTAAGTTAAAATTATACTCATGCTTTTTTTATCAATCACACCCATGTGAATATCTCTATTTAGCTATTTTTCTCTTCCATAATAAATACTCACAGATGTCACATTTGTCTCATGAGTTATGTTCCATACATTTTACTAAAAAGCGCGTAATTATCAACTCTAGGCAACAATAACTCAACTAAAGCCTCATCCGTCTTTTATAAACTTGAACTAAAGTGTATTCACAATTATAACACCAATATCCATAACCTTATATATATATATATATATGAAGTGTTTGTGAAAAGTCACCCGCTCTCATTTTGGCGTAATTTAGGAGTAAGATGTATCAAATTATGAACAAATATTGTAGTCTTCGAATTCAGAATCAACAAATAATCAAGACACCTACTTTATTTAACAAATAAGAGTTTAGATATAACATTCGCTACTCAACAACTTTAGCT